TGAGTCAAGGAATGCAGCTGGACACGGGGCGAGCCTGGAGATCTCTGGGCAGCAGCTTTGCTGTCCTCTGGCCCGTGGGGTGGTCCCTGTTGCTTCATTTGCTCACTCTCTTCTTTCACTCATGAACTGTCATCTCTTCCTTCTCAAAATTTAACTCTGAATTTGCATGTGAAGCTGCCTTCCATCTTAGGATTTGGCTGTAGAATAAAGCATGTGAAAGAATTCATATACTCAGCACCAATTTAGGATGCAAATAAATAACTCCAAGAATTCTAGAGCTTTTTAAAAATAACTATCTCCATTTCTATTGTCCATTTTTCATCTGTGTGAATATATGCTTACTCCCACACTCTATCAACTTGTTTGTATGAAACATAATATTTATTGGGTGTTCTGAATATTTCATTGCACATTGGTCCACTAGGGATTAAAAACATCACACAGCAAAGTGGTTTTTTACATCTTATTATGTACTAATTTTTGTTAGAGATTATTTAGGGATCAAGAGTTTCTTTATACTTCAAGGCTCTTGAAAGCACTTTTGTTTTATTGCTGTATATTCATTGTGTACATTATCCAGTGAGAAAAAATAGAGAAAAAAGACAACAAAGTTGTAGTGAAAAGAAGCAAAGGTTACAGTATCTGCACAGTTGACATTTGCCATCCTAAACAATATTGACTTTCAATTTATGAGATATTTCCATGGAATTATTATTTTGAAATGCTTTCCTAAGATATAGTCAGTATATATCTATATTACATGATAATTTAATTGTAAAGTAAGTACAATATTAAGATAAAATAAAACTGAGCATCTTGCCTTTCATCTGGAAACCCTAAATGTTGTAAGTTCTAAATGATGAGTTCAGTTACGTACTTTGTACTATTTCTAAATACCTTGCAATTTGTATTAGCTAAATGCCACTTTAAATTCTCACCTGTTTGAGAATATTGGCTTGGGACATTGATTAAGTGCTATTTTTCAAAGAGAATTCAAAATATAAAAATAGTATTAGAAGCTATACAGAATTTCACTACACAAAATAGTGGGAATTGAAAAATGGTTGTTGAGTTCGTAGATTTTTATAGTTTTTCTAAAGAAAATGCTCTTCTAAGAGGTAGCAGTTCACAGTGGAGATAGTGAATCACATTTATTTATTTATTTATTTATTTATTTATTTATTTATTTATTTTCATGTTTGTAGATAATCAGCTGTCATGGACTGTGAGTGTCTACAGTCAAAACCCAAAAGTTATGAGGACTCACTGAACCGATGTGAACATTAAAGGCTATGGAAGCTCTCCCTGTCCTTAAAAGAAGAACTAGATTTCCTTCTCCAGAATCACTCTCCCCTTATGATTGAATTGGATGAAAGAAACACTTCTCTCCTTATGTGTGATGTTCTCCAAAGAAGGAAAATTGAATTTGTTCAGCTCCTTATGCCTATATCTTCTGGGAGACCTAAAATTTGATGATTCTCCCTGAATGTCCTCCTCCCTAGTTGGAACATGTCAAGGAGACTCCAGGAAAGGAATGGACAGCATAGTTTGTTGGAAACGTTCCTTGGAGACTTGGGAGACAAAGTCAAACAGTAGAGCATCAGTGAATGAAACTTTTCCACTACATTCTCCTGTGACCTGGAACTGTTCCAACATTATAATGCAACCTTTTTTTTTTTTTGCCAGAACCAGGGATTGAACTCAGCCCCTTGAGCTTGCCAGGGAAGCAATTATTCAACTGAGCCATCTCCCCAGACAGAAAGTTGGAATATTAATCAACAAAATAATCAGATTTCATTAAAGAGTACTTCATATTTACATAATGCCTCAACCATGATACAGCTGATTTTTCCCTTTAACTGTAAAGTGAGTTTTTTAACCCATCTGATTGCTTTTTCTAGAGACAGAGACTCGCAGTAAGTGTCACACTGACTTTGAGTCACTGGTACCCTATATAGGTTTCAACTCTCAGCGATCCTGCTGCCTCATCTTCGTTGATATTGTGGTTACAGATAGGCACCACCACTCACAGAAAATCTGGCATAAATTTTGGAAAAATATTTGAAAAGAATTCCTATTTAACATCTCCTGACATTTTTTGGCTCTATGTCATTTTTCCTCCTCCAAATTGGCCCTACATTTCAGGTATGTTATTTGTGTGTGCGTGCGTGCGTGTGTGCGTGTGTGCGTGTGTGTGTGTGTGTGTGTGTGTGTTTAACAGTTACTGAAATTATACTGATAATTTTTCCCTAGTGGAATAACTTAATTAGGAAAGACTCTAGTGTGACTTGATGAAGGTGTAAGATCTGCCTTTTGGTAAATAATCACATGCTGTAATTATTAAGTATGTATTATCATTGTAACATTGTCATCTTCAGGAGTCCCACCTAGTGTCTTTCTGTATAATTTGTACCTCATAACAATCATGCTTCTGTTAAGTCAACCAAGACACTAAACACATCTAACAGAGCTGTGTTAGAGCACTAACTTCCTTATTCTGTGGCCAATACGTTTCAGGATTTAATGGTCTCCTGGATAGCATTAAATGGTTACACATTTAGAGGTCCATTATTTATGATTACATGTGCAATATTATATATTTATATTAATGTGTGCTTTCATTTTTTGATGCATTATCCTAAAAAATGTCAAATATAAAAGATCACAACTAGCTGTCCTGGATATTGAGCTGAGATGCTCCACATGCAGAGTTTCAAGAAATCAAGATTTTCCCTAGCAGAAATCCTAACATGACTGATACATATAATGTACATATGTAAAAATCTTTGAATTATAGTTTGAGATTCAGTAAAAATAAATAAAAGCAAAATTAAAGGGAAAGCTGTTATAAGCCAAATAACTACAATTAATCAACAGAAAACCATAGCTTATTGATGTAGGATGTTAACCCCATGTTGATTTGCAGAACAGAATTGTCCATGAGAAGCAGTATTGTATTAAAGAAAAGAATATTGAGGAAAAAGTGATATTTAATTCATATTTAAAAATTAAGGGCTAAGTGTGATAAATATTAGAAAATAATATGATTCTCTGTACTGTTACATTATAGTTCATGTTGCCTATGGAGATAAAGTATGTAATCCTACTGAAAAAGAATAGGAATTCCACCCAGTAACAAAGCCATTGTCATTTTAGTTGTCAAATGACATCAACTCCTTAGTAACTCCGATTTAATGGGGCTAGCATTCCATAGGGAACCTTAAGAACAAACTTTAAACTTTTTCCTGAAGACCCTATAGAAGGCATTTTTGACTTCTTTGTTCCTGACACTGTAGATCAGCGGGTTCAGCATGGGGATCACTAGGGTATAAAACACAGAGGACAGCTTGTCAATATCAGAGGACTGAGCAGACTTTGGCTGTACGTACATGAAGAAGAGAGTCCCATAGAAAACTACCACCACTGTCAGGTGAGACGCGCAAGTAGAGAAAGCTTTCTTTCTTCCTTCTGCAGACCGCATTCGACATATGGCTATGAGAATCATAAGGTACGAGAACAGTACGACCAGGAGGGAGGAGGTCACATTCACGGCTGAGAACAGGTTGATCATTAGTGCTATGTCCCTTCCATTGGAGCACAGCATAAGTGATACAGGAACATCATCACAGTAGAAATGACTGATGTGAGAGCTACAGAATGTTGATATAAAAGTCTTAATAGTGACCAGTAGAGCAATGAAGTTGCTGTAGAGGTACGGAACACCTACCAACACACGGCAGCGCGTCTGGGACATGATGACATTGTAGAGTAGAGGGTTGCAGATGGCCACGTAGCGGTCATAGGCCATGGCTGACAGGATAAAAAGTTCACTGATGATGAACGTAACAAAGAAGACCATCTGGGTGGCACAAGCATGGTAGGAAATGGTGTTTTGACGCATCACAAAATTGACCAGCATCTTAGGGTAAATCACAGTGGCATCACCCAGATCGATGTAAGCCAGGTGTCTGATGAAGAAGTACATGGCGGTGTGCAAGTGGGCATCCAGCGTGGTCAAGATGATCATGCCCAGGTTGCCCACCAGTGTACATGCATAGATGACGAGGAAGACCCAAAAGAGGGGGATCTGCAGCTCAGGCAGGCTGGACACCATGCTCAGAATGAGGTCAGCTGGTCCTGTTAGATTGTGCTGGCTCATGAGGTCCCCGTATTTCTTCTAGGAAACAAGAAAATGTTAGGTCTTTCATTCACAAACAATGGTCACATTTTAATAATCACATACAGAGTGGAAATATATATTCTACTCAGTCATAGATTGCTATTATCATTGCTAACATCATCCTAATGCTAATTATACTTTTTCTAAGAGTTGAAAATATATATATTTTTTCTCTCTAAATCAAGTATCTATGTGAAGTGTATAGATTCCACTTGTTGAGACAGCCAGTAATATTTGGACCATTTTAGTGTCAACAAATTCATAGCAGGGTAAATATAGACATGTTATGCACGATTGCATGTGAGTAATGGAATATTTTTTTCTGAAGATATAAGGGAAATAGATATTTTATCTATTATTTTTATAATAAAACTCTTATATCTTTATAAGACACATTATCATTAGTCAATCTCAAAACATTCCTCTTGGCTCAGGCACACAAGTGTCATTGTCCTTGCTATTGTCAGAGGCTGTTCTGACCATCTCCTGTCTGTGCTGTGGGACACAGAAGTGGGTTTCAAGGTGAGTACAGCTCTTGCCAATCCCATGCAAGACACAGGCAATCATGTAAAAACAATGTGGTCACAGATATGTACATTTCTCTCTGGTTCTATCATCCTGGGACTTGCATCTTTTCTCCAAGGTCATAACAACCTTGAAAGGACTTAAAGGAAGCCACAATCATGACCTAAAGACAATCAGAAAATAGGACATGTAGAACTGCTTCAGAAAGGGGCAATAACTTTGGGATAAACATTTCCACTGCAGATAGCGTTCTGAAACTGACTAATTGCAGTGTGTTCTTTACTTGTGAACATTTGTTTTGATTTAAACACTTTCAGTGATGGGCCAGCCAAATAGCTTGGCAGATTAAAAGCATCTACAAGCAAGTGCAGGGGCCAGGGGTTTTATCCCTGGGCCTGTTGTGCCAGCCTCACTCTCCAGGACTCACTGAGACTGCTATTGAGACTGGACATGGTGGTGCATGCCTGTAACTTGGGAGGCTGTAAACAGAAAAATCACTATGAGTCTTATCTAGTAGTATGACCCTGAATACTCTGTAGTCCCTTCCCTAAAATACAGAAAAAATAAGTAAATAAATAAAATCAACACATTCATTCAGTGTTTATTGGTTACACCTTGTTTTGCTAATGTACTTTGACAATTGTAGTGGAGTATTAGTACTCTTAAAAGTTATGCAGAGCTTTATCAATGAATTCGCAAAACATGATACCCTTGTCAAAATAAGACACAAAACCTGCAGTCTCTCTGCACCCACTTTTTTTCAGTTCCATTCTTTCATGCTTCAATTCAAGTCACGGTGGATTAATATCCAGATACATCTTACAGTGCAAGTATAGAGAAATGAGGGAGTGATATTTTATTTGGAGATTGCTATTCATATTTGTAATGTTCACAATTAATGACATCATTGATAAATGCTGCCTTTTATATATGAAAAGCTCTTCACCTGTATCTGTAGCTATAACAATAAAAGAATAAAAATTCATAGACTTTATGCTGGTTTGAAAAGTTGTTTATACTCAAAGTTCTTAAACTCTTTTTCTTTCCCAGTAACTATGTACATTCACTGATCAGCTTCTCATGATAGTTTTACTTAGTTTCAATGAAAGAGAACCCTCAAGTGCATTAGACTTTAAGACACAGAGTCTGTAACTCTGTTCTTGTTCAGATAAGTGGATTTACGGCAACACATGTGGATTTGAGTAATTTTATATGCATTATATCATCAAATAACAGTAACAAGATGGCAGTTTAAAATACATTGAAATATTCACTTGATCATTTTCATAATATATATTAGTATCTCTTATACTATTTCTGAAATTTTATGAGGGTATAAAGCGTGACATTGTGGTATTAAAATAGGAAGAGTTACTGCTCATTTCACAAAATTTAATGTAAGAAGATTGTGAACCAAGTGGAAGTGATGAAAGATGGGACACCTTTGAGCCCAAGCGCTTGAGGTCCCCTCCTGTCACAGTCAGAAACAGGTCTTGATCACCTGGGATGGTGTCGACATGTTTTTCCCTTGGAGAAGCAGGGGGATAGCAAATGGTTCTGTTGCTTGAATGTGGAAGAGCATGTTTATTTACTGGGACACTGGTGTCCTCCTGCACAGACTCCAGGGCTCCAAGTCTTGGCACCCAGTATGAGGTCTGCAAGCACTGCGCAGGGCAGGTGGCAGGCATTCCAAGAACTTTGCTCTCCCCTCCCAGGCGACCGTCTGTGGCTGCGCCACCTGCCTCCTATTCTGTCAGCTTTCTTCTACTCACTCACGAGCAATGATCCATTTCCTTCCCAAAATTTAATGTTGAATTTGAAGTTTTATGGTGTCTGTCATCTTTGGGCTTTACTGTAGAATAGAAGCTGCTTTCTTTGTTCAAAAGGATCTAGAAATTCAGGACCCATCTTGTGGTTGTAAAGTATTTCCATTTTCTTAATTTTTTTTAACTCTGTCGCCTCTTAGTGTGCAATAATAGTTCTGAGAATATAAAACTTTCACCGTATTGAGTTTATGTACATGAAAAAAAAGGTCTTTGGACTCTTCTACACTATCTAATTGTTCACATTTTAAATATTTTCACTTGGGACTTTCTATTAGGGCAGGCAGAGAACAAAAATTAGGCAGATGTACTGACTTTAAATCTTATGCTTGTTTCAGCTAGCAGTTATCTGATGTTTGTGGGTTTCTTTACAATTTCAGATCTCTCTCTCTCTCTCTCTCTCTCTCTCTCTCT